GAGAGAGAGAGAGAGAGAGAGAGAGAGAGAGAGAGAGAGAGAGAGAGAGAGAGAGAGGTTTGCCCTTTGAAAAATCTTCTCTTGGGTAGTGGGACTGAGAGAAAATGCTGCGTTTAAAACCTCTAGGGTTTGTCTTCGTGGCTTACATTCTTCTCTTCCATGTCTCTAATTTTCCACCATTTGTGGAGAGCTCATCGATCGAAGACACCATCAGCCATTCACCAATCATTCACGACAACAAAGAAGCGTTTCAAGACAAGGTACTTTGACGAATCAAGATTTATAGGAGAGGATTAACGGTTTTCTTTTTCAATTTATGAATAAGCGTAATTATATAAATGGTGTCTAATGTAAATTCGATGGTGTATATAATATATAACGAATCGAAGTTTCTTGTTTTTGGTTAAGCAGCTGAATCATCAAATGGCATATAGCGTCAAACTTCATGGGATTCTCTTGTGGGTTTCCATGGGGTTTTTCATGCCATTGGGGATTCTTTCGATCAGAATGGCCAATAAATTCCATGAAACTGAAAGAAAAGTGAAAGTGTTCTTTTATCTTCATGCCATATCCCAGGTAATGAATCATCCACATAATATTATATATATATATAGAAAATCCATATATGCATATATTGGTGTTGGTTAAAACTCATAATGACATCTCACTTTAATCATGTCATCCACGATCGATAGCCCAATTCCTTTCACTTTGCCGCTAGTTTTTTAAAAACAGCTTATTATAAACAATATAATGTAATATATTATTTTTAGTAAAACTACATTTTTTTTGGATGAATTTAACTGCATTTAAAAGGTTAATTTATAATCGGAAACGAAACACGAATTTTTTTATATATATTATTGAAAATAAAAAGAACTACTATTGATCACTGATTACTACTGAGCATTTTTATTCTGCTGGATGCATTGCATAAAACCTATGAAAGAAATACTTCAAGCATTTGAAATGTTTTGATCATCATCTCTTGAATAGCAAGGAACCAAGGAGCATGCTATGATTACACACATACACACACACAATGTATATATGTATATATACGTATATGATAACATCGATATATATATACATATATGTATATATGAGTGGTACTTAATTTGAATGAGGTATATATTTTTTATGTGTATAAAAAGAGCAGATATTGGCGGTGCTTTTGGCAACAGCAGGAGCTATAATGTCCCTAAGAACCTTGGAGAACTCCTTCAACAACACTCACCAAAGACTTGGCTTAGCTCTTTACGCGGCCATGTGGCTCCAATTCTTGACTGGAGTTTTCAAGCCATCTAGGTATTTATACACGCATATGTATATTAAACCGTACATGCATATATACGCGTGTGTATATCAACAGACACGTGTCGATATTGTATTGGCAGGGAGAGCAGGAGGAGGATCAAATGGTACATCTGGCATTGGATGCTTGGGACAATAGTAACAGTGGTGGGTGTAATAAACATATACACAGGCATAAGAGCGTATCAACACAAGACATCGACAAGAGATTCAAGCAGCCTATGGACAATCCTTTTCACGGCAGAGATCTCTTGTCTTGTCCTCCTCTATCTCTTCCAAGACAAATGGGAACACTTTCAACAGAATCTAAGAAGAAGAAACGATAATCCGAGTGACCAAATTATTCAAGTGGCCGTGACAAGAAATGACCAAAAGGTTTTGGTTCCTCAGCCATGCGGCAAAAGCAATGCACTCATGAATCTGTTTGAATAATCCGAATAACCATTAAATATATTAAGCTGTTTCAATTGGTTGGCTTTTGGATTATTGTAATAAAAAAAAATCTAAAATATTTATATTGCAAAAGATGGATTGCTGTTAGGCTTTATATATATATATATATATTTTAATTTTACTATAGTACATGTAATTTGTACAAGTGTGTAGAAAAATTCGTATTGACATATGTAAAGGTTTGCGGTTTATTGGGCTTATACAATTTTTTTTCTTCTAATGGGTCAACAGTAACAATGACTTCAAAATTTTACCATTAAAGAAAGTTATTTACAATGGAAAAAAGTAAATGGTCTCCCAATATGTAATAGCAGGCCCAAAGTGCTCCAACGTAGGCCCAAACTATTTATTATTATTTTTCTTTCTTTATTTTCTAACTTTTTATTTTTTTGGTAAAAAGTGAGTGATATTAATAGGTTCATATACAAAAGCATTTGGATTTAATTACATGTTCGATATGATTTGAAAAATTTCATCAAGAAAACATATGTTTATATTTATTATTGTTAGTGTAATAAATAAATAGTTATAACACATTTATAACCAATGAACTATGGGATTGTCCGCGAAAAAAAGAAGGAAAGAAAGCAAAGCTGGGAAGGATTGACGAAGAGGTTCTCCTCGCGCGCCTTTATAGGTTCTGAAATTGGGAAACAGCCATTAAAAAAGGCGCGAGTGTAACAGACGCTCCAAGGAAGCGCGTGGTTACTCTTTTAAAATATTATTATGCATTAATCTAATCTAAGAGGTCCAATCAATGGGATTGTCTGATGGCAAGGGAAGTCTACGGCCCATAGGACGATGAAAGAAACAGGCCCAGCTCATACGGCTACGTGAGAAACAGGCCCATATTTTGTCTAGCACGCGACGTGAATCCACGTCACTCCAGCCACCCATTTTCCATTTCTTGATCCTTTTTTTTTTTAGTTTTTTTTTAAAATGAAATACTTTGATTTTGCATGGTAGATTTTAGGTTTAACATGTGGTTTTAATGCCATACATATTAACGTTTTTTGAGACCTGATTAAAGTCCATGGGGGGCATAATGCATAATAGAACATAGGGGGCATAGGAAGCATGTATAGCTTTATACATCGTCGGATTGGAGTTATCTTTCAACAGGTAACATAAATAGAAATACACATAAAAAAAAACATCTTCAAGGCTGATGAAGCAAAGGGACGAGTAAAGCGGGTGAAGAGATCCAAAAACAGAAGAAACCTTTGAAGGGCAGATGGAGGATCCTCATATGATATGAACTCTGTCCTCGCTTATCATCACTTTGTTATCATCTTGCAGTTTCTGCATCACCACCAACAAAAAACACGCACATATACACAGATATATCTTATGAAATATCTTCAAGGGAAATGGCGAATTTCGAATTCAGGGAGTTTTTTTTTTCTTTTTGGTGGTACCTCTAAAAGAAACATGATATGGGCTCTGGAATAACGAGCAGAAGCAGCCGCTCCTGTGTTGACAACCTTCTCTATGTCTTCAATGGATATGTCATCCAACCGGTTTGCTGTCATGTGTTGCCCAAACACTTTCTTAAACGCTTCAATCCTGTCTCCCCCCATATGTATCCAATTGCCTTTGTTACTATAAAACACACTTAAAACCGGAACAGATTCTGTCGCTTGCTGTGGGAAAATATACCTTTCAGCAGAGAGAGTGCCATTGAATTCCTGCCCTTCAGGAGCATTATCCACTTCCATTGCATCTTCCGTTTGCCTTCAACAAATGTACACCGAGAATGAAGGCCAATATTACTAGAGGATCTGATAAGAGATGGTTTCTGAGTCGGGTTACCTTTCTACGGTATCTGCAGAACCCCCATTCTCTTCTCTATCGCTATTTCTGTGAAGGCGTCTGTTCCCTCTACGTGTTCTTTCCTGTTCTGACTCTTCCCTCTCCTGTTCTTGCTGTTCTCTTTCCTCCATCTCTGTCAGCTCTTTATGATAGATTGCAAAGTTCAAAAGTTTCAGGGCAGCTTCTACGTCCGATTTGGCGACCTGCCCAGGAAAGTATTCATCCGTTAATCCAAAATAGTTCAGATACTCAAAAAGTGTAACAAGATTAATATTTATACTTGCAGATTCAATAGGGAAAGGAGAAGAGGTTTACCT